ACTTAAATAAACCTAAAGGTTTTTAAATATACCTACTTTTTAATATACTTACTTTCAAAATAAAAAAAACGATCTATTGAAATTTTGATTAAAGAGGAAAATTAATAATTCTCTCTTAAAATCCTTCAGACAGTTATGAAGGCAATAAATAAATAATAAAAGTCAGATTACTGCTCTGACACTGATACATAAGTTTATTAAATGATTTCAATTTTGTTCATGATGAAACACTCTAAAATGAAAAGATTATTTCTCGCAATAGGACTTTATTACAAAGTCAGTTAGTTGTTGTGAGAATGGAAGCGTTAATATGGCGAGTTATTTAGAATCCAGCACCACATCGGAAAATCATCATTGCCTACAGGTCAAAATATTTTTTTAATAAAAATAACTTCACACTTAACTTATCATAATGAAAAAGAGTGTATGTTGTATGGCTCCCAAAATATATCCCGATCATAAGCAGGGTCGTGATTAATGAACGTTTGAATACTGTAGTAGAACTAAATAAGTCACATTTATCCTACTAGATTGTGCAAATAGAAAAGATTGGGATTGCCGTCAATCTAAACTGACTTGACAGCCAGCTAGAATTGCATAGAAGCTCTGCGATGTTAACAACAATAAAAGTTTTTTTTAAATAGTTGTACCGACTTCAAATAATATTAACAACAAAGAGAACTGAAAACCTAGCAGCAATCGCGGTTGATTTGCTGTCATTTTTTGAAGAGTTCCGTTGTCTGTTTCCAAAACTCATCGTCAGATCTATATGAAATTTAAATGGGACCATTACGAAATAAATTCCTTTTTGAATAAAAAAATAATTTTGTAAATCCGTCCATATATGACGAAGTTATTCCCGAACATACATAAAAAAAAATATAAACATCCGAAATGATAACCTCTTTTTTGAAGTCGTTTAAAAAGAACATATTACATTAACATATTTTTTTAAATACATTAACAGTTATAATGTAAGTAACGTTACATTTTCAGTTCCTTTCGATGTTTTTGCAACTCTCTCTTATCAACATTTATCTAATATTTGCATGTCGATATGGAGTAAATAGTGTAACTAAAATGTATAATACATACCTTATCATCTGCATTATTCAAATAAATAAATCTTGCGGAGTTTTGTAATATTTGTTGGCTTGGTTTTAGAATGTAAATAATTGAATTTTAGAATACATACGAGTACATACACTTGAGCCTATGCAATATGAATATAAATTTATTTTTTACTTACATGTATTCGGGATCGGAGATATTCTTTGATTTATTTCGAATAATCTTTGTCAATATAATAATATTTTAATGTAATTTATGGCTTAATTTTACCAAAAATAAATGATTTTTTTACTTATCTTATATTCTCGAAGGGTTCGAGAGTAGCTTATTAAAAACCTGCAATTTGGTTAAAATATAATAAATTTATAATTTTAGTCCCATCTATGTAAGAGGATAAGTCTATTGCCAACCGGGCATTTTAAGTATTAGATAGGATATCTAAGAGTAAGTCGCAAGGAAAAATAGGTAAAAAAGAATAATAATAATATTTCTGACATCTGACACACAACGCCATCTACTTTGAAACTAAGTAGAGCTTCTACTAGTATTATAAAAGCTAGACTGAGGGATAGAATAGAATAAATATACATTTTTTTTAAATACATATATACATTACATAGAAAACACCCAAACTCCGGAACAAATATTTGCAGATACTACAAACATTTGATCCGACAATTGAATCGAACCCGAGGCCTCAGCATAACAGTCGCTTACGCTACCACTGCACCACCCAGGCAGACATAGGCGTAATTATTTGTATAAGTATATTTTTTTTACCCAAATATTTAAAAACCTAATGGTTTTTAAATATTTTAGAAATTATAGGACCTAGAACAATAGTTACATAGTACAAGAGAATTTATGAGGCATTAGCTGTACCTTGCGACGCATTACTCTAGCACATTGTGGTTGCATTGATAAGAAAAGAGGCAAAAAAACTGACACCAAAACTAGTTCCAAAATTAGTTAAAAGCAATCTTTTTGGTGTAAGGGACGTCGTAACGAATATTGAAATAGTGTATTCAGACTATCATTCATTTCATATTTATATCAACGTTTTCAAAAGGTTAAGGTCATTCCCGTATGTATTGCACAAAAGTAATAACTACTTGTGTATTCCGTGCAAACAGTCTACGAATACTAGCACAAGTTGGCAGCTGGAATGGAGGCCCCGCGCGCTTTGGCTGTTTGATTAATTACATTGCAGTTTTTGACCGTATGCGGTCTTTATTGAATTATTTTTGGTAAAATGTTCTGTTTACTTATTGTGATATTGTTTTTCATCATTTTTAACCAAAAAAATGGAAATTTATATAAAAATGTATTTAAATTTTCCACCAGAAAATTCCAATGATTTTCGACTTAGAATCATGGTTTGAATACACTCAGTATTCGTTACGATGTCCCTGTATACAGATTACGATTGGTATCCTATTGATCATGATATTGACATTGTTATGCCCTGCAGTTATTTAGACGTTTTGAACGAAATGTAAAATATTGGAATACTTTTGAATAGCTGTCAATTGATAATTTCCGGTGATATATATATCTTTGTTTTTTATTTTGACTAAAATGTTAAAACAGTTCTGAAATTATTCCTATTACCAGAGATTGGTTCTTTACCAAATTAATTATAGGAAAAAAACAGACTACGTAAAAATTGTAAACCTACTTCAATTCGCAAACTTGATTATATTTTAAGTCTTTTTTAACATTTTATATAAGTTGTATATATTTGTGTAAGATTTTTATGAAAACCTTTAGATATTTAAATAACTGACTCGACATTTTGAAGAAAGTTAATTTTTGAAAACATAAAATTTGGTGTCAAAAATCCGTCGTTTCAATTTTTTTTATTTTCTGATATATGTATATACCCAGTAGCACTCTCACAATCAAGACGAATGTAATGATACCTCAAATGCGGAAATTCATTTAGCCGTTCAGAAATATAGGTACATACATACGAATACATACCCTCGAAAAACAAAATCCTCGTTGCACAGAAGTAAACGCAGACTAAATTGTTTATATAAGATTTTATCAATTATTCTCTCTGTCACCTTTGACAAAGTATTTTATATTCCTGATCATTTCTTTCTTCTTATATCAGTTTATTATTATTATAATTTCAGTCTTTAAATTTATTAAATCAGTCCATTAATTAATGTTTTATAAACAAGTATCAATATACTTTTTAAAACACCGGTAAATTGAAGTAATTGGATAACTTAAGTAATATATATATTACATAGAAATGTGATTTATATCCTAATTATTTAAAGATTTATTATATTTACTGATAAAAGTTACATCCTGGTCTTTATTTTGACTAGCTTGTAATTTCCTAACAAATGTTTTCAAATGGATACTTACTAAAGCCTTTAATAATATTGAATCTTATGTTAGTACAACATTTTATTAAACAGAATCTTAGTTCTGAACGATATGCTGAAGTGCTAAGACAAGCTAGTTAAAAGAGCACGCCAGTACATGAGATGTACTCTGTATGACGCGTGAATCTGAAATATATTTAATATATATTTCTTAACATACGTGGGCAAAATGCAAAATAATTTAAACGAGAACCTAAAATTACTATTGTTAAAGGGTACTCGTGCAAAAAGCTTGCTGTGACTGTTTAAATCAGAATTAATTACCCTGTGCATGGTATTTATTTAGGCATTTTACTCTCATTTCATTCACTTTAAAACCATACAATAAGTGTATACACTTTCAAATGACTTTTTAATTTTGGAATCTTGCTAACAAACATTTAATTTAAACAAACATTGAAATTAAATAAATACCAAAGGGAGAATAAATTACTCTTTGATACTTTTCGTATGTCTAAATGTGTGTAATTTTTTTAACATATCCTTCTGTATACGCTAACCGTGAAATCATAATTGTCCGAAATTTGTTTGGATAATTTATCTACCATAATTTATGAACTAAAATTTGCAATATTGAGATTCAATTTGATAGTTGTTTTGATTGGAATGATATTTGGTAGGTACATCCACTTCAAAGGTTATGTCCTTTGAAATGGATGTACGTACCCAATATATTTAAAAGGCATAACGATATATACGGATGGTTTAGCTACTAAAAGAACTATGCCTAGGTGAAAATAAATAGTGTTATTTTTGCGTTTTCACTTTTCTGTTCTAAAAATTGATTCATCATCATTTCTGCCGAAAGACGTCCTCTGATGGACATAAGCCGCCAACAAGGTTTGCCATAACAACCGGTCCCGTCCTGCCCCCATTCAACATTAAAATAAAAATTGGTTAATAAATTTCATTTCTACAAAATTTAAATGCAACATTTGCCTTTCGAGCGTTATCTTCAAAATGTAAATAATGATGATCTAGTGTAATAGTTATGTATGATAGATAGACAAACTAACAATGCGTAATTATAAAAGGTATGCCTTCATAAGTAACGGGACGTCAAAAACTGACTATCAGATATGTAGTAATATCGACTACACAAATGGCGTAGTAGTTAAAGTGGTCATCTCACTGCTTATGGGTTCTAACCCCACATGGAACAGCACTTTGTGTGATCAACAAACTGTTGTACCGGGTCTAGGTGTTCGTTGTGTCTGTTTCTTTAATGTATGTAAAGTCCCCGCGACACAGGATTGTCTTTAAAAAAATATGTGTAAGAGGGTAATCCTTCAAGGTAAGTAAAATATAACAATTTAATGAAATTAAAATATGCATTTTATTTTTACAATTGATTTAACAAATTCAAACTAGGAAGCTATTAGTATATAGGTTTTAAAATAAGCCACAAGTTTAATGGCATTGGTTACTTCTAGGGAAACCCCTGAAGGTTACGAGTTAAGATTATGATTAAGATTGTCGCATTCAATAAATAGTTAAGCGCGCCTGTGGCATATTTTAGTTGATACAATGTGGGGCTTGAGTAGAGTCGTCATCGTAGTACTGCTGGCGACTCTTAGGTGAGAAGTGTTTGGTAGCAGTGTTCAATGGACGTTCGAGTTTCAAAATCAAAGTGGAATTTTATTTATTGTACATTTTATTAGTCATTTTATATTCGTCTTTGTGACTGTGAACTTGAAAGTTATTGTTTTTGTGGTGTTTTTGTTTTTTTTTTCTAGTTAGCTATTTCGAAAATGTAACCTTAAACGAATTTGAAATTAATGACACAAATTCCTAATAATACAAGTTAAAATAATAAATCAAATATTTCTTTTTTCGTAATTAATCTAGTTTCCTTGACGAATTGTCGGTGTTCTTGTATTATTATCAAAATCAACGATCGAGATTATTAACTAAGGCTAGTACGCCTTAGTTAATAATCTACTTTCAAGTCTATGATATAACGTCAACATTGTTTGTATTGCGGTGTTCGAAAACACAATTTTATTGCTCCGCTTAACAGTTAATGCATTTTTTATTGTTTAAATGCATGTTTTTGCTCCAAATAATTTAAACGGTGTCACACACATAACAAACACATATATATGTAGAAATTGTTAACATTTCGTTAACAAAGTTGTTTAAGTAACAAAATATATGGTTAATAGTATGGTGATACTTATAAAACTTATTAAATCCATGCTGATGATGGAATTTATTTTTAATTATATAAGTGGCAAAGAATTAAGCATTATTCATCTTTGTACTATATTTTTTACGTAATTTTGACCCTTAAAGATATATGAAATATCTTTTAGATTTTATATATTCCTTTCTTTTATTCTTTTTTTTTTAAATTAATGTAAATTTAACATAATTTGAATTGTAGCGGGCTGCCAACAAGGAGTTTAAAATATGATCTACGAGTGAGCAACTATTCTTTCCCCGAAGATTTCATTTTCGGAGTCTCAACGGCTGCGTTTCAAATAGAAGGAGCATGGAACGAAGATGGTGAGTCTTCCTTAAATAATAATATATTTTATTTGTTTTTAAAATTTATAGTCTTTTTTTCTCACTAAATCCTGATGAGTATAGTTAATTTTGTTTTCTTGTTTTATAGTTTTAGTTTAATCTTTAATTTACTTGAATTTATGAACGGGGTAACACATTCAGCAATTGAGTGCTATGGATTATGATTTCTTCAAATACGACCTATTTATTATAAAAATAGTAGTATTGTGTGTTTTATGTATTCAAACTCATTAAGAAAGTTAATTTGAACAAAAAAAAGTCCAAATTCGTTTTGAAACTTTGTTTATAAAATCTGAAAAAAAAAAATCACAATGGAAGTTCAAAAGCTATAAACACCAACTACCAAACATGACTTCAATCTGAATTCAAACTTAGTTGAGAAAGTAACTGGAACAGTCTTGAAGTTACAAGTTTGAATTCTGTTTTGAGGAACTACGGATTTTATTTAAAGGAGATTAATTAATACGTTAATAAAAATACTAATTTGTTTTGACGGATTAAGAATACAATATGTAAAATTTTTCGGTATAAAACCTTCTTCCCCGACTCCACATCAGGTCAAGATTTCCGCTTCTATAAGATTGCCCTGGTTACTTTAAGCCGTGCCCTGTTACATAGTTTCAGTGGACTTAAGTTACGCAGTATGATAAAAAGCACACCAAAATTAATATTTAATACATGAGAGGGAAGCCCCGACGTAGATAACAAATTTAAAAATCCACAATTAGAATTATAGACTCTATGTATACGATTTAAAATGGTGGTGAAGTATACTGATAATATTAGTTCTTCAGAAGAAGCAACATTCATTACTTCATCCGCTTTTATGCCTCTTGGGACTACAGGTAATGTTTGCCTCAAATCTCCACAAAATAAAATTCGTTGATCTTGAATATTGGTGGATGTCTTCATCGTCGTCAAAGACGTCCACTGCTAAAAATAGGATTTTTTTTTCGTTCGGTACCCCTCCGGCTGTCACCCCACAGGGGTTTGCGGCGAGGTAGGGTGTCGGAATCGGATCGACTAAAACCACACGGTGTGCCACTCTGCGCCTGTAATAGGAGGGATCCGGATACTGCTGTTATTAAGACATCCAGACCCTAGGCGACATACAGTACACGTGGACATCGCCTCTTTGGAGCTGACCGTTATTGCGGGTGGAGGGAAAAACCCGCCCGTCCACCTGCGGTCACATTCATTGCTGAGCAGTCTCCAACCGGGACAGCCAATAAGGCATCTTGGCTCGGCGAGCGACCTCACGCCACTCGCGTACCTCTTCGGCGGGGACCGACCGCTGCAACCCACCCCTCACGACCTCAAATAATTTACCCGCCGCGTCCAGCAGCACGATGTGACGACCTCAGGGGTCACGATCGAGACTCTCCAGCATTTATTTTCTTTTTACTTTATTGGCACGGCTAATTGCCAGCTTCAGAGTTTTTCGCGCCTCTCGGTCTCCTTATGAAGCTGGTCTTCCTCACCCGTGACACATAAGACTGCCAGTATAGGACCTTCGGGCACGAGTACAGGCCCCGCGGAGGTCCACCAGCTCCTGGGTGCTGCACATACCCCCCCCCCCAAGGTTCCCAACAACAACCAGTTCTGTACTGCCCGCGTCCAATGACATCCCGTGACCTTCAACTGTTCATCGGTACACTTTGGAAGGAGCCGACCACCTGATAGACGAAACCTGACCTGCCTGACGTTACTAAATTGTGCAAGGATAACTTTAGTAAGAAATGTTATACTGCTACCACCAGGTTTATCTGATAAAAAAAAACACTAAGTAATTAGTGCAGCCATCACAAGCCCTATAGAAGAGTGCTGCATCGACTTCTATCAATTTGAGTAGGCAGTATTTCTGTTCCTTGAGCGAATTATAATTCGCTTCCGTAAAGTACTCACGGTAAAAATCGATTGACTCTGTAAAAAACTTCTGTCAGCGATCAGACGTTCCTCACGTTGCGTGAGGCTTTCGAAAGAGACAGAGTCAGCATAACGTTGACTATCAGCGTTCAGAAGAAGTCGTAGTATCAGAAGTGTCTGAAGGCTAAAACCGAACATGACATCCACCGTCAAAAATTTTACCTAAATGCTTTAGAATTTAACGGAAAATTTTTGTTTTTAATCTAATCGAAAATTATTCCTATTCAACTCTAATGATTTCCAGCTATAACCGAAAATTAATAAAAATACCTACATGACCAATACAAATAAACCCTACTGTTAATTAGTTTAAATTTCGATGACGACCATTATGAATTAATTACGGTACATAAAAATTAGGGAAAGTATGTAAAGTATTGCCAACTAAATAACAAGCAATAGTGAATTTAAAACACGATTTAAAAACCTACTTCCACATCTCAACAATATATTTTAGTTTCTTGTTCATGTTCATCTCAACCTATTGAGCCATGCGATACAGGCTTGGATGTAATAAAACAAAATTTAAATATTTTGTCGAGAAATAGAGGAAGGATTTTAATCGTATTATTTGTACTTCTACTTCTTCGTCACAGTAAGGTTTCGTTGTACTGCTCATGTAGATGTTTTTATTATTTTTCTATTAAAACTAGAAATAATTAGAGTTGAATAAATATTTTTTTCGATTAAATTAAACGCAATATTTTTGCAGTTATTAATTGGTTCCAGTAATGTATAAAATCTTTGGCGTCTTTTTTCTTCATTGTTATTAAAATTATATATATTTATCTTAGTAGCTCACTAGCCTTACAATTTACACAGGTGTTATCTGCTTGAAAGCGGTGGCACTGGTAAGGCTGCCGATGGCACGATAGAGATAAATCGCGTGAATCCTTTGACTAATATTTAAAAAAAGTATGTAAAAAATATTCGTAATGACAGGACACACTTAAAATCAATTTCTTCGTAAATACCCCTTGGAAATTGTTGTTATTTTTTATAAGCAAGCTGCAGTATTTAACTTTCAAAATATATTAACATGAATTAAGTATGATTGTTCGTTTTAAAACTTTCATTCTTTTAAATATTGATTCTGGGTAAGGAACAGCGAATGAAAATTAGGACAAAAAAAATTGAAATTTTTTTGACTAATGACTATTGGTACCAGATGCATTTAAATTGATATTTAAATGCATACTTAGCATAAGCTAGCTAAGTATTAGAACTAATGCCAAAAGAATTAGGGAGTCCCCAATGTAGCAGTATAACGAGATATTTATGAGGGCATTAAAAAATTGGATCCCATGATAATAACCTATTCAATTAATTTGTATACTCTACTACATATTAATAATATATTTTTCTTTTATTTTATCTTTTACTAAGAAAAGCCCTATTCCCAGTAGTGGACTATTAAAGGCTGTTGATGTGATATATTTACTACTAATTACTATTTCAAATAAGCTTACAGTTGTGGAACCAAAGCGGTTAAATTTTAACTTACTTAAAGTAACTTAACATAAATTAATTCCAACCAATACTACATTCATAATTATATTCCAAGTGCATAATTATATTAAGGCGAATTCAAGTACAGCAGTACTCTCACGGCCATTATATTTAGCCTGTCACAGAATATATCGATATATACAACAAGAAGAAATAAATAAATTATAATAATTTTTTTTACATATTTGACTAAGTAATACATTCTTGTGATTATTTTAGACTAATTTATCACTGCGAGAATTTAAATAGTTACTGTTTACCTGCCAGATTATACTGCCAACTATTTATTTAAGACAGTATGCCTTTTGATTTATACTAGACTACGTTCTTTTTTTTTAGTATATTTATTTCAATTTGGACGTAGTTTAATCTTGTAATAATTGCTTGTTATCAATTCGAATCTTGATTAAAATAATAATATTAATTTGTGTGATTCATAGATATCGCAAAAAACAACACTGCAAAAAGAAGGAAAACTTGAAACAAACCCTATACCAACCCGTCTGGCAAGCGTGGTATAGTAGGCCAAAACCTCCTTTCTAAGGAGAAGCCTAAACTATGCAGTGAACTGTTGATGGTGATGATAGATATCGGTACCGTGTATAGCTATACTTGAATTTAATGTTTGTCCTGTCGCAAAGTATGCCACTGTAATTTATTGAGCATAATTGTACCGGATCTGATCACGAAATGCCACCGGCGAGCCTAAAGGTAGAACAAATAAATTGATTAACCTTTGTAACGCCGCTGATTATACTGTACAAGAGCCTTCAAGTTTAAGGAAACTCATCGTTCCGAGGTAGTTTTTAGTGGAAACACTACATACTTCTGGCTCATGCGTCCCCAACGAGCCGGCAATCCGAAAGGATTTGCCAAACCGTTAACAAAACAAATATCCTTAAACTTCTTGCCAGGACATTAAACAATTTTTCGCTGTTACTGACTAACAATTTCATTTCAGTTGATATATAATTTATTGTACACATTAATTATAACATGTATATTAAGTAACAAGTAAATTTTTTATGTACAAAGGCAATTTTAACCCAAACCTGAGTTTTCTTCCAGTAGAGAACTTAAGAGCAAAGTCATATGTACTTAGGAATAAGTAGAAAAAGAATTTAAATAAAAGAAATACAAACATTCATTAATAGCTTTATAAAAATATATATACGTAAATACAATTAATTATATATGAATATCACTTCACTTTCACAAATATTGTGAGTTTAAGACCTACTTAAATAATTAATTTTCATTCACATCCTTCACTTCATTTATTTGTATACTGTCTCATAAACTCGTTTTACTGTCATTAATTTTATTCGCGATAAATATATTTACATAAAAATTTCGAGTTGCGTGTCTTTGTAATTCCTCTCTTTAGATATGGTTGGACAAATGGTAAAGGGAAAAAAAACACTCAGCATATAAGTGAATTGAGTTATTTACAATGACATCAGAAGATTTCTTATTATTATTCTTTTATCACCCCAACCTAATAACTTTGCGTGATAAATTAGCACTAGCAGTAATTTTTATGTCGTTAGAAACAATTTATTATTTATTACAAATAATAATGTACACATATAATCATACAAACGTCAAATATGAAGTGTTATTTGTTGTTTAATCATTTTAAAATAATATGTTAATCCATATATAATAGACTGTCCGGGCGCCATGATATTTGCAATATTACTGGGATATTGTATATACACCCACTTTTAATGCAAGTGTTTCGAGAGTCCACTGTCAAATATCTCGCTATGTATTTTGTATTGTTATTTATGATACATATACTCGTATATAGGTAGATAGATGGTATGATAGATGGCTAATAAACTTTATACACCCTAATAATTAGTCAGTAATGACTCATGTCGCTTTGTTTAGCCGTAATACTTTAAAAAAAATTGTAAGTTGATCAAGTAAAAAATTTATAATGACATGTTGTGTTTGCCTTTAATTGTTTGTACCACTAATGTTGTGTCAACTTTGAATGCTGTCTTGTTATATTATATTTGTATATACAAACTTTGGTTAATAAATAAAATGAAATAAAAATTTAACATCTGGTACAGCTAAGTTGGTTATTAAAATCAGTAGTTGGTTTCTCATGTGACTAATATTTTATGAAGCTATTATTTGCATTATATTTATTCATCAAAGTAATAAAACACCTTATTATTAAACTTTAAAGTTGCTTGATTTTTTAACAACTTAAAAATAAGAGGTTCTCAATTTTGTATTTAATGTATATTACGTGATAGTTCCAAAATTGACGTTAAGTAATTGTAATGTCGTAAATTAGATAAATTAAAAACCAACCCAATGAAAACAATATATATTTTTTAATTAACTAATATCAGCGGTATATTTAAAATGAATATTAAAACCGAGGAATTGGCCTATATAGCGAACCGATTACTTTTTTAATTCTTATTCTGAATTGGTTTTACACAATGTTTGTCTTATTTGAATTTGTAGAAAACATTTTATATCCCAGGATATATTTTATTTGAAATTAATAATATATTAATATTTTTTTTTTTAAATATTGTAAGGTTTGCTGCGAGATTGCTGTCATTATCCATCAAGATCAGGTATTCCCAAACTATTTTAGGCAAGAGACCCCTTTCCCAAAATAAATTGATACCTCAGCTAAAATCTATCTCCAGTTTTTTTTCCTATTGATACAAAATACTTATGAATTGAAAAAGTTTGCCTTTGGTTAAGTGAGTACTTTACATAATTTTCTCATCAAAATTAAACAAAATAAATAGACATATCAGTCAGTCTTATAACAAGTTGGTACAGGTAACACAACTTATAAAGTATCTTGAATGTTTCAAATAAGAACTTGTCGACCCCTGGGAAACCAATTTCGACCCCAAGGGGTCGTTATTAGCAGCAGATAGCCTTAAAATATGTGTAAAGTAAAACGTTATTATTTCTTTCGTAAAAGCTTAAATTCGCAGAGACATTTTAAAAGCTTATTTGACATAAATCACATCAGAAACAGCCGGAGATTAAATAACACTGAGTCCCAAGTAAACATTGTCTTAGGTGCCTTTTTTTTGTTGAAGGGGTGGAAAATTCCTTCGGATCCCCGATAGGATAGATAGCATAATCTGGCTCCTCGGTGAGGCAGGAGCCAGATTATGTGTTGTTTCCACTAAAAACCACCCTGACAGCCGGTCAAACGCCCTGCTATGGGGAGGACCCGGACTATGTTATTTCAGTGTATGTTTTACTATGTTTTACCCATTTTTTTTGATAGAATGTAAATTGTTAAAACGTCAAATAAACAATCATCTACATGTTTATCCCAATTCTTAAACATCACGTTTTAAAAAAAAAGTAAAGAGTAGATATTTTGTTTCAACAATGTATCTATCAATCAATTGATTAGGCCATTGTAGTCTACTACTAGACCTAGAATTCTCCCAAATAAAACACGCACCGCCATCTACTTCATGGGTCCTACCGTTTTTTGACCAATTCGGGGTCTGTACTTTAAGACTCTTCTGCTCTAACGGTATTACGTATTGTCTCTTCAGTGTGTTTGTAATTTTATGAGCTACCTTTAGTTTTTTGACGGACCACCTAATTTTGTAGTTTGTTCCATAGCCAGAGGTGTGTTCGTGGACTAGCCCTACAGTCAGCCTTTACGTCTCGGCTATAATATTATTTATTAACACCAGTTTTAAAACCTTTTTTTTTAAACGAAACACAAGGCAGAGGAGAAAGTATGTGGGACACATATCTCCACCAGCATCCGAACTTTACCGTAGACCACTCGAATGGTGACGTAGCAGCGGACTCATACCACAAGTACATGGATGACATTGAGATGATTAGAAACCTTGGAGTCAGTCACTACCGCATGTCAATTTCCTGGTCAAGGTAAGCATTTTTTTAAATATACGTACAAAATATCATCAGATAACATTTAATCATATGTATCAATAATATTAAAAGAGTAATAGACCTTGCAAATATAATGAAAAATCTGCTGAGAACCAAAGCACTTATGTGAGTCAAATAAATTTTGACTCGAAATTGGGTCAAATTTATGGCACTCAAGGCACTTATTCGCCTCCAGCAATATAAACCATGTAATCAATGAGGAATTGCTACATATCACTGTAAAAGGCTCCAACCGATATTTTATAGTCATAATAGTCAATAATGACATAGTTTATTACATATGTTATGTACAACTCAATAAATAACAATTCTAAACCCACAGAATTCTTCCCAACGGAACCGACAATAACATTAACCACATGGGTGTAATATATTATCGTACATTATTCGAAGAACTTCTAAAAGTTAACATCACTCCCATAGTTACACTTTTTCACTGGGACATGCCTACACCGTTTATGGACCTCGGTGGTTGGAGCAATCCGAAAATTGTTGATTATTTTAAGGACTACGCGCGGGTAGCATTCAACCTCTACGGGGATATAATTAAAACGTGGACAACCATAAATGAGCCACACCAACATTGCTATATGGTAAGTGTATCCATAACTAATAATAAGGAACTAACAATTTGTGCACGAGTATTTGTCCCAATTGATTTGTGTATTACATATAATAAACCATTAGATTTAGCGCTACATTATGGAGGTATAACATTTTATCAGACAGAGCAAGATGACTGCACGATGGCGTAGTGGTTAAAGCGGTCGCCACGCCGCTTTTAACTACGCCGAGTGTTGTGAAACCCTCGCATGGGACGACACTTTGTGTGATCCACAAATTGTTGTTCTGAGTCTGGGTGTTCTTTGTGTCCGTTTCATGTATGTTTGTAAAGTCTCGGACACAGGATATATTCCTAATGCGGGAGTTGTCTTTTTGATTGTTTAGTGTACCACCGTAGTTTGTTCTTACGGTCGCATAATATTTATGCACAAATTTTCGGTCAGAAATAGGTTGTATTAAAGTTTAATACAAATATTTAAACCTTGTCAATAAAGTTACCAGAAGCAGACTTATAAAAGTAAGATTTAGACATTTAGTCTAAACATAAAAGGACTAAAATAAACATGTAAAACATACTTTGTGATTCCTCTAAGTTTATTGCCCAATGCATGAATTTGCCGACTGCACTAACTTTTAAAGTTATTCTGCTATCCAAAAATCAAACATAAAAAAAAACAGCCGGTTTAATATCGTATAGTAGTAATATGTCAATCAATGAAAAATTTGTTTGTGATAGTTAATCGAAAAATGGCACAAAGTTTGTTATAAAAGTCACAAATAGGTAATGCTAAAATAATATTAAAGACTTATTGTAAACCATTATATAACTTTGATAAACACTCTATAAGATTCATAGAATTATTTGTGGCTAGTCCATACGATATTCTAAAATAGTAGATGGAAGATTTAAATAATGAATCGAAATCAATTCAGTTAGATGCCAGCAAAATACAAATGAACCGACAAATAACAGACATTATGCTGAAATATGAATGGAAATGTTTGGCTTGGATTCTAAACAGTATTTTGGTTCTAGTCAAGATAGACGGCCAAGACATAAGAATACAGAGATAACAACTTATTTTTAATTTTAAATACAGATTACCTCCAAGACTAAAAAGATCTAAAATATAAGTGTAAAAGTCGCCTAAAACCAGTCAGGATAAAGTTATTCTATACTTTCGTGAGTAAACTGACGTTAAGCACGGTTACTGTTTTTATGTACTTAAAATTTCTGGAACCCACTGATAGACCAGTCGATATTTCTATCCTAGTGCCGTTTCCTATTACAGGACGGACAGATAGGTATCGACTTTAGTCTCTTCGAGCTATTGCAATAAAAGGAATTACAATATAAAGGAAATAGAGAAGGGAGACTTAAAAAATAATCTTTCGTTAAAAAATTCCAATGTCTTTAAACTCAGCTGAATATGCACTTGTTTTTTTTTAAAAGGTCTTTGAACTTATTACTTGATAATCAATATAAACCACTTTATAAATTCCATGTAAAGACATTTATTTACTATAATCGAATCGAGTCGATCAAGTTCCGTTCTTTTACTTCCTCTTATCTTTTGAAGGGTAAAATGTTATTTACATCGCATATCTTATAACAATATATTAATTTGTTAATTAGCAGCTTAAGCTGTCTAAAATGGACCACTTGTGTTCGCATGTTTATGTCAATATTTCTGTCCTAGTAGTATCCCTATTCATTGAAATGATACCGTATACCACATGCAATAAGAACTTTTTCGAACCTTATCTGCAGTCTCAGGTATCGTTTCGCAAATTAGACTTGAGGGATACCTCATCAAGCTATAAGGGATACCTTACCATAGATTCCACGCCACATTTTCTTTTTGGCATTTTATCTTCCTCTTTAGGAAAAAATATGCTACACAATAAGTCGATCTCAATTAATAAGGAAAAATCTTCCTAAAATGCAAATGATAAAGTTACGAGTACATATTTGTTCCTGCATGTTTAATTTTTGTTCAACTGCTACATCAGAATTATCATTTTCTCGTTGTCCTAGGGATACGGTCTTAGTACATATGTTCCAGCAATAGCGTCACATGGCATCGGCGAGTATTTATGTACTCACTACATCCTGCTTTCACATGCACGCGTCTACAGAATGTATGAAAAGGAATTCCGACCTTATCAGAAAGGTAACATTCACTTCCTTTAAGACGTAAACTAGATTTTTGTTCATATTCTTGAAATTAATATTTTAATTTGAAAACTACAACACACAATTTAGAAACATTTCAATATTATTAAAAATAAATATTAAAGTGTTTTTTTCTGAAACATGCCAGTAATATAAGACAAATAATAAAACAGTCAAGATAAAAAAATTATCCGCGGCTTCAAAAAACCTTGTTGATGTCGACTAATGTAAAAATATAAGCCTTATTACTTCAGAAAGAGAGCGCTGAAATTTTCTTTAAATATCCATTGGATAAAGTAGCTTAATACCCTTTTCAAGAGCTGAGGGTTACTGCTTGCTAAATTTAATTAGAATCGGTTCGAAGATTTGGTCGTAAACAGGTAAATATAGTCTCAATTTCACCGTTATGTTATTCCTTTGGAATTGGATTAAGGTGGCTTGAACTAAATCGACCTTTCGCGGATACGAATGTACCAGCACAAAAAGACTAGAACGCAGCAATTCCTAACTAATTATAATAAAGTTTAAATTTAAATTTGTAAATTTCTTAACAGGTGTTGTAGGAATAACTCTAGATGCATTTTGGAGTGATCCAAAGGATCCTAATAAGGCTGAAGACATTGAAGCTGCCCATTGGTATTTAAAAATGCATGTACGTATCAGTATAAGTAGGTATACCTTATGTTACAAATCTGGTACAATTTTGATTTTAAATTGAATTTCATTTTATTTTACTCGTATTCCTGACCTTTTTTAAGATCACAAATACGAGTAAAATAATCAAAATTTAAGACTATAATTGAGTATAATACAAAACTGACTAAATTTAAACTGAAAAGTCATAAAATAATGTGTTTTGTACCGGCAAAGGAAACCAAGTTACCACATAACCTATTTACGAAAAGTTTAAACTCTTAATTTAAGCTTAAGGATTTATGCTTGATCTTGTTCGTTCTTACAAGTAATATTGAAAAGTTTTTGTTTTTATAAGTAATATTGAAACTCGCCTAATATCACTTCAAGTTTCTCATACAATTTTTTCCTATACTAAATATTTCATTTTGATAGACTATTTGGAAAGCCATAGTTTTCTGCTATTTTATGTCCGGTAGGTTTTAAAATGTCATAATTGTTTTTTTTTTTCAGCTCGATATGTATGCACACCCAATATATTCCGAAACTGGTGATTATCCCGATTTTGTTCGAGAGCGAATTAACAACATGAGTCTTCAGCAAAATTATTCACGTTCACGGCTGCCATATTTTACAGATGAAGAGGTTAGTAAGTTCATTTACTGTAAGGCTCTTTCTTAACAGACGGACTATATTTAAACTGGGCCTCAATTCTGCTATTTTATGTTCACGCCAAGCCAGTGTCATACCACTGACACGCTATTGAGATGCCATCGAGTGGCCATTGGCATCGGTATAAAATTGCAGTTTTTGCGCGATTGACATAACGCAATCGAAACTGACAACCGATAACGACTACACACTTAGAAATATATGGCAGCTCCTATGTAAAAATAAGCATTGTTAGGCTGTATTGATTCAGTAATATCAACCGTAAAAGAGTTTTTAACTATCATAATATAAATGTGTTTTCTATGGAGGTTTTAAATACAAATAAATTAAATAAAACATCGTGTCGTGTAGAATTGATTCAATTCCATGTATTAATTGCTGTTTTAGTTAACTTTAAAGTTATGAAACTGGAATCGACAATTTGAAACCGATATAATAACACAAACAGAACAGTGTTACTATTTAAATTGTACCGAAACTATTAATTATAATTTCAAACAGGGGGGACGCATTTGGTTGGCGATATTTGTATTCTTAGAACAAGAAGAAAACACGCTATACACACGATACTCTTAATTGGGCTACACTGGTCACAGAAGCTTTATAATATAAATTTTATTTTTTCTTTGTATTGTAGGTAATCTTCTTGATACAAAATATTAAAAATCTTTTTACATCAAACTTATATGTGTCAAAAATTAAATATGAATAACGAACAACTATGTACGTAGAACTATTGACAAATGTAAATTATTTTAATAAATTTAGCATCTGAGCATACGAAACGCAAATGTAAAAAAATAGATGGCATCTCACAGTTTTAATCTTTACTACTCTATAAGAAAATATGATTTACTAAAGTTATAATTTATAATTTAAAATATTTATTTAAATATAATGCTTATTATTTTTACCGGATAGGATGATAGGATTAATGGTCCTGACCACTGAGCAAGAGATCGTGTATCCGATAACGCATAACCGCGTGATGAGCACGATAATTAATTCTGTTTCTGAGTATAATTTGCTTTAATTGGTATGTTATTCATACATTTATAAAAACATGTATTTGTTAGCAGTCTGGTCTCCAATAGTTTGGGATCAGACGGCCATGTGTATAGGGTCTCAAGTTATAATTATGACGTTTATTCCTATGTATTTGTTCAAGATCGATGCTTTACGCGGAAGTTCGGATTTCTTTGGCCTCAACCACTACACTACTTACTTAATGTCCCCATCAAATATGGAAGAGAAATGGAAAGTGCCGTCTATAGATCATGACACCGGTGTCAAAATGGAACAAAATCCATCCTGGGCAAGACCTGGTACTGAATGGTTATCGGTATGTTAAGAAAACTTAAATAATACTTTTACAATAATTGGTAAGTTGGGATGAACGAGTCAATTACAATCTGCATATGTTACACTTACAACACATACAGTCACGCCTTTATCCTGGAAGATATATATATGAAGGCGTATTAAATACATATACATGATGTTTTTTTTTTAAAAGGAATTAGTAAAAACCACAGACTACCGGCGTTAGAATTATTGTTTACGATATTTAAAGTGTACAAGGTCGCCAGGTGACCATCGATTAATGCAATTATACTGAACCGTCGTATATTAACAGTTTATGATATACAGATTCTTATAGCCGAGCAATGCGGTCACTTATATGATAATAAAATAATAATTAAGGAAGTAAACACAACTCGCCCTTGAACGCCCTTGAACGCACACGCAACTTACTTATATCCTGATAACCAAGCCTTAATAAAAACTGAACTAAATTGATTTGTAAAGGTTTTACTATTCTTATATTTTTACTTTTATTTTGTTCTTAGTTTTTCAATGAACAAAACATGCAATGAATTTAAATGCAAAAATTCAACATAAAGCAAATAAGTATAATAATATTAATGTGTAGAAAACATTAATAAATAAAGTAAAGATTAATTTACATATTTATTAGCAATAACTCAATGATAATTTTAATTACATTAGTATAATTAAGTGCTAACTATGGGTGGCAAAATTGTAAGGTATGAAATAAATAAATACAACTTGCATGTAGCAACTTATATGTAGGGTAAACTATGTATACTATGATTGGCACTTAGAGGATTTTTTCATATATAAATAATCATGAGTTCACAAGTTTAATTAAAAATAGACTTACAAAACAAGTTTAATTAATAAAGCTGAACTTTTTTATAATACTTAGTATAAAAATTTGTATTATAAAAAGTTTAGCTTTACTTAACTTCTATTATTAAACATTTATAAAAATGTTAGGTTGGTTTGTGTACGCTTTAAGAATATAAAAAGTTCTTCATCAATCGAATACTTTTAACACATCAAATTTTAATATTTTTGTTTAAAACTAAGAGTCCCAATAACTAATGGGTGCCAGTAATAGTACAGGTTACCCTATTATTTTGGAGGTATTTAATGTGCGTAAGTGCAAACTACAGGTATATTCTATAATTGTTCTTGTTACAATTGTAGTAAAATAACCATATTACAAAAACGTTACACTTAACGTTACGTAAAAACGAGTTAAACTGCTTCAGAAATATGTGTTAATGGCAAGTTGAAATTATTCAAATATTGCCTATTTATATGTATTTAATATTTTTATTTTTGATATTATCTCGTGTTCTTAGGTTACTTTAACTATACTCTATTTTTAGATAATCAATGTACTTTACATACTTTAGAATCATTTTAATTGATGCTATTGCAGAGTTAATTTTTATTATATATTTTTGGGTATTCCTTTGTTTTTTTTTAAATATGATGTGTATTTTAAGTGCCATTCGTTGCTAAATAATCAAATACGTGGACAAATGCTTACTGTAAATACACAAAACAAAACAATTGAAATTATTGTTAAAAAAATAATTATTTTTTAGGTGCACCCTCCAGGCATTCGAAAACTAGTCAATTACGTACAAGCAAATTACTTAATTGTAAAAAAGATACCAATTCTAATAACAGAAAACGGAGTGGGAGATAAAGGCCAGATAGAGGATTACGAACGAGTGTCTTTCTTCAATGACTATCTTTACCAACTACTGCTTGCAATACATCAGGATCATTGTAATGTCAAAGGGTACTTCGCATGGACACTTATGGATGACTTCGAGTGGTCAGATGGCTATGTGTAAGTCACATAAACTTATTTATATGAAATAACTCTAGAAGAATGAGCAAAGAACTTAGCTTAGCTTAGTCCTTTGTTCATTTGCATGCTAAACCTAGCTACACTTTGCTAAAACTCAGTATTATTGATTTCTTCTTTTGGTTTTTAGAGTGCTATTAATTTTTTATGGTATAAGATTCAAACGAGCAGAGGTATAGCCTGGTATAGGTGAGTAAAACACCGCTGCATATGGACACATACAACTTACAAAAACATATGTGCAATGCAGTCCTTGCAGTTTATCCTCCCCAGAATGAATGGAGGAAAGGGATTTTTTTTGTAGACAACGCCTGCACTAGGAACTTTTCTTGTTTCGCGGGAGATTTTATAAACATACATGAAATGAACACAAAGTACACCCAAATTCAGAACGACAATTTGTGAATCACACAAAGTGTCGTCCCATGTGTAGATCGAACCCACAACTCTCGGCGTAGTGGGAAGCGATGTGGCAACCGCTTAAACCACTACGCCAACCGCGCAGTCTTGAGCTCCGGTTACCTCATTTGCTTAGTAAAAAGTAACCAAATCATTGCTCATGACCGGTGTTCTGTGAAGACGTGGTATCACTACCGTCGAAGTGGCCCAAATAAGCTGGCTCTCCGACAGTACTACAAATATACTCGAGTATTAAGTACGAAGTTAAGTCATAAATCTACTCTTTTCGAGTCCTTGCATACGGAGACTAAATTAATATATTATTATATCGAAATAGTATCCAGTATTATAAATTCTTAGTGGTAAAACTAACTACCTTAAAGGTAATGAGGTTTTTTAGGGTTTATTTATAATTTACCAATTGAAATTCAAATGTTACCTACAATATTATACGCTCAATTAAATGATTCACGTGGGTTTTTGACTTACGTTTATAAAAGTAAACAGTCCACGGTAACCTTTCCCTCACCAGCACTTTCAGATGCACCAACTGAACATTCGGTGATATCGAATGCCATAACTTCAACCTACATCGAAACATTAGTGGTTATTGAAAAAAATGATAATGAAGATAAGTGATGGTTCTTTAGTATAAACACGAAGCTAACGTTCCTTCGTTTTTATAGTTTATTTTACAGTGATGATTAGTAGTTAGTGCAAGTGAAGAATCAGACACAGAAGTTTTGTAAGAAACTCATTCGTAAAGAACCTCTTAGAAAATACATATTTAGATAACACGATGTTTGAAGACTTTCTTGGCTCCCAAAGACTATTGCTTAGTACTGTGAAGTGAAAGCACAATATGGCTAGTTTCGTAAAACTGGAATTCCGCATAGATCTGCTTGAATAACTATTATTGTTCTTATTGTTGGTAAATCGACGGGGACTAATGTGTTCATAAATATTAAGTACTTATTTTATTTTCAGATAGGTTTTAATCATAGTCGTAAACGATTCTTGATTTAAAGCTAAACTAATCGTAAAACTATAATATTACGAGTAGCCCTTGACACAGTCTCAGTCTTCAATGGTATTTACATAATTTGACATCGATTTATCCTTCATTTCATAATTAATTAATCTGACCATATTTTTTTAAAGAATGTTTAGTGGTTTAGGCTCGAAAGCGTAACAAACAAACAAATTCACATTCACATTTATATATTAGTTTTTTTCCCGTGACTCCGCCCGAGTGTGTATCGGTTATCGCGGTAAAAAGATTTTTTAAATCGATTTAGTGGTTTATGCGTAAAAGCGTAAGAAACAATGGAAGTATGAATGTATGTTCTATTTTGAGTACTTAGAAAACAAGTTACAAATTATTAAATCACGTTTAAAGGAAATCAGGACGTACTACCATCTAGATTCGACTTAAGTACATCTTTGTATACTGCAGTTTCTCTATTATAGGCTGAGTAAATGCTATTGTGTGAATGTCTAGTCTAGACATAGTCTATATCTACAGAGATGAGAGACAGGGCTTAGCGTAAGGCCTAATGAAAGTGTTGGATTAACGATACAGACGTTATAGCTTCTAAACCTTGTATAAGTGAAACGAAACCTCACAATGTTTTTGTGTGTTTAAAAACAAAGAGTTTTTTTAGTGACATTAATTTGTTAATAAAAAATATTGTTTTTATATCACGACTTTTATAGATATCAGACTGGTTTTCTACAAATTAATTGTGATCACAATCGGTGTTTTTAGAACATTGGATAAACAAAGAGGTAGTGTATTATCTACACGAGTAGATCTCGTCCTAAGGCAATACATAACGAAGTAGAAGTAATACAAAATAAAGAAGCTCAGTCAATTCATTTGCTATAGAACTTCAGCTCTGTTTTTATTTAATCATATCATATTCATCATATTGTGTTTCTTCATAAAAAGATTTCGTCTTAAGATGTTTGTTTTGTGTCTTGATTGTCTCATCAACATATAATCAGAAAATGGCTACATTTAACGTACAATTAAATTATTTATTATAGCTATTATTTTGTTATCACATTTAAATTACATTTGATTTTAAAAAACCTTCCAGATTCGAAAGACCGGTTTACTTAGAACATCGTTTTGAATAACTCTTGAGAATTCTACTATCAATTGTTATGATATTTACAAAAAACGTAATTGAAAATTGTTTCGATTAATTGAAGACTATATAACAGAAATAATCAGAATTCAACAAGGTTATCGCTAAAAAAAACATCTAATGATTAATTATTACATTAACAATTTCAACCCATGTTTATTTTCTACAGAACACATAATATAAAACTTTTAATAATTTACATTCTTCTTTCTCTTTTCTTTCTTGAACAATCTCTTAATTCTCTATAAAAGATACCTGCATTCAATTTGAGCTAGTTAATTTAAAGTTTCCTTATTCATACCATAGTGAGTTGGTACGTAGGTACGAGTGTCATAACTATTGGAAATGTAAAGAGACAAGGAATACATTTGCCAACTCGAACTTACAAGATGTTTTGGAAACTTTTTTGGAGATTTTTCCTTTTAATAAATATTGGACATGACATGACTGTATTAGAAAAGCAAGATAGGGTGGCTAAAAGTTACAACACTTCCTTCTGGTGTTGTAGTTAATTCAGTCCCAAGGAGAACTTTTGTAATAGTACATTTAATTCAGCCTTAGAAAAGATTTGGTAGTAGAAAATACTTGCATGTGGCAACCCATTCAAAATACTTGAATGGGCAACCCATTCAAATATTTTCAAGTAGTTCTAGTTATAGAGGGAATATGCTTACCTCCGTCTGTCTTCGTCTCGATCATGAATCCAACACCTGCTTCGATATTTTTGCTTATCTTGACATAGACATATTTTGAATATTTTACTACTTTAAGAAGGCTCAAAAATGAAACAACCTTCACATTTCTTACAAGTCATGATTTATGTTTGAATATGTATTTTTTATGTTTTTATTACATCATTGCTCTTTTTATTTTCAGACCAAAATTCGGACTGTACAAAGTTGACTTCGATAGTCCAAACAAAACCCGAACTCCAAAACTGTCAGCGAAAAACTATGAACATATAGCACGGACCCGTAAAATTGATTTCAATTATATACAGCGTCCTTTGTTGCACTAGTCGAATCGTTCATAGGCAATTTGTTGTCACGCCTGAATACTTTCACCCAAAACACAGAATGATGCCTAATTTGGATGAAAGTAACAGCAATACGTGTAAAAGTCTACTGCATAATAACTATGTAAAATATGAATTAGTAATTTAAGAAAGAGTAAAGTATTGTTCAAGTAACGTTGTATAATATTGTTTGTGTGTTGTAAATATGTTTTGTTCTGTTTGAGTTGATGGAATTTTAATATGAATAAGAATTTCTGTCGTACTTGAAGAAAAAGATTCACCTTAATATCGTAAAGGTCAGTGACAGCCGGATCTTCGAGTTCATAGCGCCGGTCGTAAGTTTCCGTGAGTTTTGATCCCGGCATAATATCTTTATCCTGCGTTTTACCTAGAGGAGTAAAAACATAATAGAGAGATAAATGGAAATATTTGTAACCTATGAGGTTTCAGTCAAATGGTGCATTAAGCAGTAAAAATAATGGAATAATGCTTTTACAGGTATCTGACCTATAAAAGCATTATTCCATTATTTTTTTAGGAAGTAATCTGAAACCTTCCTTATGTTAACTGTATGATAATGACTAGGAATGTAATTAAATTAAATTAAAACAATAACGTTAAAAGCCCTGTTTATTTCCATATTTTATTTTTAAACACAAGTGGTTTGACTGGTGGTTGACATTAAGATAATGGATCTGGTTACACAAATAAAGTGTTTTTTTTTTTTAGAAATATTATTTCAATTCTGATATTTACTTGACTACTAAAAATCTAGGTTTTTAATAAGTAGGAATACTTCTACTCCACTGAAGAATATGGATAAACAAAACCTCCAGTATAACATTATCTTCCACTAGCATTGCCGTAACTTAAAAAGCTAAGACACTGTAAATTATAGTTTAATCTCTTGACGAAAAGGCATTTTTTTAAACACAGGCTGCTTTGACTTTTAGTTTCTTAGTAGAAAAACATCGTACACCAAATGAAGGGTTTTATGGAATAGTAGACCTTATGACGAGCAATATTAACGTTCCTTATTGTATTATTGTAATATATACAGTATTTTGCCTTGATGCGACAGATTTGTCGGGTGCTTTTTAATCGACTACAAAAAGGAGGTTATCAATTCGAATGTTTATATATTTTTTATGCATGTTCGGGCATAACTCCGTCATTTATAGATGGATTTGCAAATTTCTTCTGATGATAAGTTTCGGAGACAGACAACGGAACTCTTCAAAAAATAACAGAAAATAAACCGCGATTGCTGCTAGGTTTTATTGCTCGCTGTTGGTATTGTTTAAAGTCGGTTCAACTTTTTTTTTAAAGGATTAATATGACAAAGGCAAAGACTCGTTATCTAATGGGAAGTGATTACCTCACCGATTGCTCCTGCTGATCTACAACTCAAAAGTCACAAATGCGTTGCCTACCCTGGATTTAGGAGGTTTGGGTTAAGCTCCGGCAACCTCACTTAATCGGTAAAGAGCAACGACAGAACTGCTTAACACCGGTTTTCTGCTAGGCCGTGTTTCTTGAAGAATCATGTTGTGTCCTGACAAGGCAGAGAGTGAAAAGTATCTTCTATTTTGAACCTTCTAGATTATCTTGGATGGCAAAAAAACATGCGGTTAATTTTATCATCAAGCACCTGCTGATACGAGTACGTACTGATAAACGCAGTAATTTTAAAACGTTCATCTTTTAGCACTTGGATAACAAGAGGTAAATTTTAGACGGACATATTCATCTTGATAACTATATGTATATTCATAATTACCAAGTGCACAAGTAGTTGACCTAAGTATTTAGGTATAGTCCATATTGCAAAATTATAAAGTACAAGTCTTAATTGGACTTCTTAGTATAACCCGACCTAACTTTTAACCTAATAAGAGTGGTTAGCAGCTGACTTAGACAAACTTTTGTTTAGATCTCGCTCTCTAGGGATATAAGATACATTTGAGGTTCCTTAAATCTAAAAGTTTGCGTTATTCGACATATAATTTAAAATGTGTGTATGTGTGTTTAATGTGTGTATATTTTTTTAAGTTTTGGTATATCTTAAATAAGGTGGGCTGCACATAACTTTGGAGTAATCACCATGGTAGCATCGACCTTTTTCTTTACGCGTAGATACCCCTTCGGGCCGTCACCCCGTGTGTCGGAATGTGTTGGAATCGGATCGACTAAAACCAACTGTGTGTCACTCTGCGCCTGTAACAGGAGGGATCCGGGAACTGCTGTTATTAAGACATCCATATCCCTCCAAGCACCTGCCCGCCACAGCGCTGGCACCACTTTAGGTACATTTTCTATTTCAGCGACGTGCGGCAGCGGTCTTCGGCTTGTCCCTTGCCAGCGGCTACAAGCCACATTAGGAGGCAGCTACTCCTGGGACGTATCTCCATCGTTGTCCATGGAGGATTTCAATGTAAAGCTAAAAATCCATGTTTTCGTTCGTCTCCCGTTCAAGCTCATCAATCGTTTCCTTCCCAACGAAACGACAAACCTGGAACGGAGACGATCCGATAATCTTCTGCTCCCAGAAGTCAGATTCACTCCTGGGAGCTCTTTCGTGATAGACATCTCGATTGAAACGTCATGCGATGAGGAGTTGTTTCTATATTTTAATTTTTTTTTCGCCTTCTCTTGCTTTCTATATTTGTGTTTTGTATTGTTAAGTGCCTTTATTAACCCCACGAGGAGGGGAGAAATAAAGGTCGACACGGGCAGAGATGACCAATACCCGGGCAAGCGTGAATTTTTACCCAACCAAGGGGGACTTTACAAACATAGATTAAACGAATACAAAGAACACCTAGACTCAGAACAACAATTTCTGAATCACACAAAGAATTCAAAGTGATCAAAGATTTAGTACATATTATTTTTTAATTTTATCACGTTCGTAACTTAAAATTTATTCAAAACGAAACCATTTAATTTTACTTGCAGCCGACTATGGTAATTGACCCATTTGTTTATTGACTGTCTAGTAGGACAATAACTTAAACCGGAACATTTCGACACATTAATCCGGGTGTCCTTAGCCGATACAAGATTCTAGGTATTGCAATACTACTGACTGTTATTGTGTGCGTGGTAGCTTACTTTTAGAACAACTACATTATATAAGTAGAGCTTTACCAACTTACTCTTGCATGTGGCATAAAAAGGTCCTATCAATCAATTAATTGATTTAAAAACTATTTTGAAGATTGTAATAGTTGTCAATCTATATATATATATAAGAGATTTCCACGTATATAGTCACTCATCACGATATCTCTGGAACCATTAGAGCTAAGGACTTGAAATTTGGTAGGAATATTCTTTTCACCGAGTAGAGGTCAGCTAAGAACGGATATTAAGAAATTGAAAAAAAAAATAATTAAATAATGTAAATAACAAAACAACGTTTGCAGGGTCAGCTAGTACGTAATAAAACATCTAAAATATTTATATCATTTACTAGCGTATTTTGTTGGTTAAGTACTAACTTGATATTCATTAGAATCTCATTTTATTTTTTAATTAGGATCAATATACTCAACTCTTAGGATCAATCTTATTTGATCAATGACAATTGGCAGGTGTTATTCCGAATACATTTCGCTATAGATTTCTGTCGAAATGATTTCTTTCTTCGGAAGTTAAATTATCAAGGAAAAATATTATCACTAATATAAAAAGAAGGAATTCTGAGTATCTAAAATGACTGATGAATTAATGTAATAAAAATAACAAACACGTGACTGCTATTGATTATATAACGTTTGATTTATAAATAATTGATTATATAAAGTTTTTGCTTACAAAAGTTTTTTGCCTTCATTAAGATAAAAACACAAATTAAAACATCAATCCTTAAGAGTATTGATATAAAGTAAAGTCTGCAGGATAAAAGAAACTTTACAGTTTGAATATAGAATATCTGATTTTGAAAGACATAGGTGTTGTCTTTTTATTTTCTGCTAATTCAGAACGTTTATATCAGTCTACAATATTGGCTAAATACAAGTATGACCTTGATCTACTCGAGCAACTGTTTACACTCCATAATTCATCTATATAGGCGATTTCTTACCCTACTTTTGCTTTCATATCTTACCAACTTCACTTTTTATACAGAACTCTCAATTTCTTCTAATTTCATTTTATAATTCAATCCGATTCTTACAGCGCGTAGTGACGGCAAAAGGCGTGCCTGCTAATACGAAAGGGGCATTAAAATTATAGGAAGTAAAATGTGGGTGTCTAATACTGCTAATACGCCTCTGCTTATTTCTTCGGAGATATAGGCCTAGGCTATGTATAATATATGTACTTACTTCTAATTCATGCAAGTGAAAAGCTTACTTACATAGTACCTTCACGGAGAAGGCTATGACTTAACTACCAATATATTTACAGAAGTATATTTTGGAGCAACGAACTACTAATTCATAAACTAATTCGATTTTATGCAGAAAAGTAGTTTGAAGCTAGAGAGTAATGCAACACGAGGTATCTTATTTTGTCTTGTACTGAACAATAGTAAAGTTTTTGTTATGTAAAAATGTCATACTACAATGTTGTTATACGTATGGCTGGTTTGTGACAGTAAATTACAAATGGAACTGAATATGCCAAACGGTAATAAATATTAGATATTTTATCGTGGAAAAATCGAATTAAAATTTCTTTCAACGATAATAATTTTATTTTATTTTTAGCTAGTAGTAGCAACCTTGAAGCTAGACAGCGAAATTTAAAAAAAAACGATTGAAAATGAAAGGAAAAATATTTAACTGAATTATTTTCTATTTGCCAATTTGTGTGTTAATTTATTCCTTTAATAACATGAAAATTTACCTCCTACTGTTTGTACAAACCCGATGTTGTGACGCAATCACATTCCATTCTCAATGTGGGAAGTGACGTAGTTAGGTCATAGATAGATTGAAGTTTATGATAGTGGTCAACTCTACTTATAACTAATTTACCGCATGCTTAAATAC